CTCTGAGCTGGCAGTCAGCACAGAGCCCAACGCGGGGCTTGAACCCACGAACAGCGAGATCATGACCTAAGCAAAAGTCGGACGCTTAACTGACTAAGCCACCCAGGCGCCCCCTGTCCTCACTTTTCTAAAATCCCCTAGCTCATCATTATAGCCCCAGCTGTATCAACTTCTTCAACAGTATGTTCTGCCCTTTCTTTCCATCATTCACTCAGGTGGCTAAACCCCATGCTTGATGAAGGCTGCTCTCTGCTTGGTCTACAAGGAGACAATATAGTATAAGGAATAAGGGTGATAGCTCTGGAGTTCAACTTCCTAGGCTCAAACACCTGCTCTGCCACCTAATATCTGTGTATCTTTATGTTGCTTAGCATTTCTGTAAAACGAGGATAATAATAACGCCTGCCTCATGGACACGAAATGAAGTTGAAATGAGATTACATTTAGACTTGTACTGACCATACTAGGTATTCAATCAACATTATTTATTATTATTATTCCATGCATGAGTCAGTGGGATGAATCTGGGACAATCACACATCTAGACAGGTTCGCTTGCACCATAAGTGGAAAACCACAGGCATCAGATGGGCCCTTGATACTATCTGGCCACTGTATTTGCTTTCTCAGTATGTTTGCTCTACTGCTCTCCCACAGCACTGCGCCATGCCTTCAACTCTCCTCCACTCTCAGTTGAAGACCTTTCCTCCTGCTACATGGGGAAAACAGAAGCCATAAGACAAATACTACTTCATTTGACTATCATCCAATACACAACTACCCACATCTGGACCCATTCTCCCTACCTTCTCTTTAATTCAGTGGAAGGTTTCCTTGCTTCTCTCAAAGCCAGCCCCTGTGCTTGGGTTATAGGTCCCCTCGACTATGGCTTCCCAAGGACTTTCCTTCTGCAGTTTCTCTCTTCTCTCTGTATCTTTGGCTCTTCCCTATTGTGACCCCCAAGGATCCTCACCCTCCTCCAAGGGTTTTCATGCCCTTCTATACCTTCTTCTGTTAAGTATGGGTGGAACTTTTGACCCAGTACTAAGCAACAGAGTATGTTTGTTCTATGATCTATTCTATGATGAAGTATTGTTCCTGTGATTACAGTGAATTATATGAGAATCTACGTTGCTAAGACAGACTGGCGCTAAGACTCCCGTTGCTGGCTTGATGAAGGAAGAGGCCATGTTGAGGAAGTTCAAGTGACAAAGCACTACAGGGAGTAGAGGTGTAGGTGGGGGATAGGGCTTCCAAGCAATAGCCAGCAAGAAGCTGGGACCATCAAACCTGCAAATACATGGGAATGAATTCTGCTCACAACCTGAATGGACTTAGAAGTGCATGCTTCCCCAGTTAAGCCTTCTGGTGAAAACACAGCTCGCTTAACACCTTGATTACACCCTTGTGAGACTCTGCAGCAAACCCAGGTAGGTAGAAACTAGACTCCACCCACAGAGACTGTGAGAAGTGCTGTAAGCCCAAAAGTTTGTGGTAACTTGTTACACAGCAATAGGAAATCACCCCCACAAGAAATTCCCAGAATGCTGTAGTCTTTACACTAAAGTCTACTGTACCTTACCTTAAAACTTATGAAGAGAGTTTTTCATACGTGTCACTATGTTCTCAACTCTCATTCACTGTTCTGCCCACTGGATTCGCATCACTGCCTCTGCATTCTTTTGTCAGGAATACCAATAAGCTCCACATTATCTAATCTAAGTGGATACGTCTCTATGCCCATCTTACTCAATATCCCAGTAGTATTCAACAGTTCACCACTCTCCACCTTTTCAACTATTTCTTCTTTTGGCTTATGGGACTTTACATTCTCTAGTTTCCTGCAGTTTATTTGGCTGTTCCTTCTTATTCATCTTTGCTGGCTTCTCTTCCTACACCCAAACTTAAACAGTGACGTGTCCAAGTCTGGCCCAAGACTGTCCTTTTCTGACCTACTCCACTCCCTTTCTAGTCCCCAGCTTAAATGACATCAACACGCTCTTGACGCCCAAATTTTTCTCTCTAGCCCTGACCTCTCCCCTCAGCTCCACATCCGACAGCCAGCTGCCTAATTGCATTCCCATTTGCATGTCTAATTGTCATCTCAGACTTAACATGACCAAAGAGAACACTTGATTTTCACAAAGTCCATTGTTCCCCCAGTTTTCCCAGTCTTAGCAAATGGCACATTTAACAAACCTCTACATTGGGGCCTCTCATTCCTTCACCCTCCTCCCCTATTCCATCAGCAAGTCCTTACAGGTCGATCTTCACAACAGATCCTGATCTGTCCACTCCTCAGCCAAACTGCCTTCACCTCTCACCTGGACTGCAGCAGTAATCACCGACGGGTCTCCTCGCTTCTGCCTGTGGTCTTCTATACTCCATACAGCAGGAATTTATTATTTTTTTTTTTAAATGCAAACCACCTTGTATGCCTTTACTGCTTACGACTTTCCAAAGACTTCATACTCTACTTTAGAAAGGCCCACCAAGGGGCGCCTGGGTGGCTTAGTCGGTTAAGCGTCCGACTTTCGCTTAGGTCATGATCTCGCGGTTCGTGGGTTCATGATCTCGCGGTTCGTGGGTTCGAGCCCCGCGTCGGGCTCTGTGCTGACTGCCAGCTCAGGGCCTGGAGCCTGTTTCAGTCTGTGACTCCCTCTCTCTCTGACCCTCCCCTGCTCACGCGCTGTCTCTCTCTCTCCTAGAAATAAAGAAAACATTAAAAAAGAAAGAAAGAAAGAAAGAAAGAAAGAAAGGCCCACCAAGCCCTTTGTTGCTAGCTCCTACCTGCTTCCCTGGCATATCTCGTCCCTACCACGTTCCAGCCACATTCACCTTTTTCTCCTTCCCACCTCAGGGCTTTTGCAACTGTTATTCTCTCTGCTGGAAAGATCTGCCCAAGCTGCATGTGTCAGGCCTCAGATCAAATGTCCCTTCCTCACGAAGGTCTACCCCCTGAGGGGGTACCCTGGGGGTCTACCCCAGTAGCTTTCCCTTCTTCCTCCTAGACTCTGGGACATCATTATTTCCCTCCTAGCACGCAATCGCAGTCTCGAGCACCATACTTGCTTCTTGCTAGGACTCTTCTCACTGGATGTGTGCATCTGGAAGGTGCTCGCTGCTATGTCCTAGGAAGGGCACCTGGCACGTTGGAGCTGCTCAATAAATATTTGAATAAATGAATGCATCAGTATAGGTATAAGTTGTTGACATTTCACATGCATTAGAATAAAATATTAGAATAAAATGATCTTCCGTTAGAAACTTTCTTCAGATGCAGTGTCAAGATATCATTGAAGCAGTGAAAAATAAAAATTATACCTCAAACTATTCAGTATACGAATTACTGCAAAGCTGTGGGCAAACAAAATTGCTTATAAAATGAAGCCCATTTTTGAAGAATTTAACAGAAATTTGTCGGGAGATGTGAACAATCTTTTTTGATAATGTGAATCATCACACCCTAGTAATTCTGTGTCCATAGGTTTGATTTTTTCCTACCTTGGGTTTACTTTGATCACAGAGCGTAAATTACAATTAATTTTTCTGTCAGTATTTCTGGGCAAAAACACTGAAGAATTACTACTCCTGTTACTCAATGTCACTGATGCATGTGACTTAATTCCAACCCCAGCTATATCCTGTAGCCATACAATGCAGGCTTTTTAGCAGACCATGGTAATGAGTAGCTCATGGTCTGGATTCCAACAAGCAACTGTCAAAAACTATCATCCCGAATGACTACTTGCTGAAAATTTCTCACTCCCAGAGCTGGTACTTCCAGGGTGGTCTAGGAAACAAATTTGTGCCATGTCTATTCTGGGATATTCTAAATGCTGATGTTTAGCATTTCTTTGGAATTGCAATTTCATGCTTTGAGGAGCTTTTTTTTTTTTTCAAACCCCAGAAGATAGTCTCTATTAAGCTCACTTGTTTATGTATTTCTTTTTTTTCCTGATATATCACTATCTTCTGAAAACTTCAGTAAATAGTTACTCAGTTGATTTTAAGAACCACTCTTGAGGAAAAACACTAACTTCATCGCTTACCACTTGCTGCCCTCAAAACTTCTTAGCAACATACACTGTGCATGAACCTCAACGTGGTTTGCTTTGTCCAATCGCATGCCTGAAAGCCCAACCAGTCAGTTGTGTAATAATAAACCCCTTATCTCCTGAAGATACACAAACGGAAAAATCTCTCGGTGCTTCAGTGCACAAGAGACTTCACTAGAATTCTCAGCAGAAATTCACATCCATTTTAAATGCCAAATTACACCCCACCCCCACTTTTCCCAATTTCCTCTTTTTTCCCCATTTGCAATTCCGAGGAGGGGGGGGAACCCCAAATGCTAACCAAGCTCAACAATGTCGAGTTTAAATGGGGGGGGGGGGCAGGAATGCCAAAAGCTGCAAGCTAAATGCAGGTAGGAACCAAGGGCTTGGTTTTAGCTTTGGGCTTACCCGTTCCCTTACAAACATCTGTGACGGAAACTCATCCACAATTGTTCTTGGATGAAGAAGGCATCGAGAGATTGACAAGAGAAGCTGCTCGTTAGTTTCAATAAGCTTGGCCAGCCCTCCGGATCCCGGAGCTACTCCTGCTTCCTCGGGGAAGAATAAAATCTCACTCCCTCTTACCTCGCGCGTCCCCAGCGGGCGTAAACCCGCGCCTACCTCGTCCCATCTCCAAGTTCCCTACCTCGCCGGGGAGAAGCGTCCTTTTCCGGCACCCACACGAGACCACAAACGCGACCCGGCCTCTGAGGAACGGGGTAGGCGGGGGAGCGACCGCCTGGGAAAGGTGCCGGGGGCCCGAGGTGTGAGCTCATCATCTCCCTCGCTCTTCCCCCGGCGCCGCCCGACACACCCCTCCCGGCCCGGCCTCCGCCAGCCGCCAGCCCCCGGCCTCAGCGCGCGCCCGGCCCGGGGCCCGGGGCCCGTCTCCCTCCCCGCGCCGGCGGGTCCCGCGCGCGCCGCGGAGCCCCCTGCACGCACCTTCAACGCGCCCCGGGCCGGGCCCCTGGGGACTGCGCGGCCCGGGCCGAGCGGCGTGAAGCGCTCCTCGCCGTCCTCCTCGTCTTCGTCGACGACCACCTCCTCGTCCTCGTCTTCCTCGTCGTCATCCTCCTCCTCCGCGCCCCCTCGGGGCTTCTCCTGCACCCGCCCGAGCCCCCTCCGCCGCCTGCTCCCGCCTTCCTCGTCCTCGTCCTCCTCCCCCAGAAGCAGCAGCACGGGCGACGAGGCGGCGGCGGCGGCCCGAGGGGGGCCGGTCCCGGCGCTGCGCGGCGGCGGCGGCGGCGGCAGCGGCGGCCTCCAGCTCTCCGCGGCCGGGGCCGGGCCCGGGGGCGCGAGCCCGGGCGAGGCGCCTTCCTTGGCGGGCGCGGGGCCGGGCGCCTGCGGCGCGGCGGCGCCCCCCCGGCGGCTGCCCAGGCTGGAGCGCTTGGCTAGACGCCGCGCCTGCATGCCTGACCGCAGGCTGCCAGCCGCGGCTCGGAGCCGGGGAGTTTGTCACCTCCTCCTCCTCCTCCCGCTTCCCCTCCTCTGCCGAGCCGGGCGGCCGCGGTGGCCGCAGGCGCCCGGGGCGCGGGGCGGCGGGGCGCGGCGGGGCGCTGCGGGAGCCGCCTCCCCGGGCTCGCAGCGGCCGCTGGCTGCAGAGGCGCGGGCGCCGCCTTCGCTGGACCGGCCCGCGGGGACGCCGGCGGCCGGCGGCTACGGCGGGGCGGCGCGGCGGCCGCGGGCGGGGGTGGGTGTGAGCGAGCCGCGCGCTGCCGCCGCCGCCGCCGCCGCCGCCGCCGCCGCCGCCGCCGCCGCCGCCGCCGCCGCCCGGGAGCCGCGGGCCGCGCTGCGCTCCATGCGGCCGGCGGCCGGGCCCGCGCGCGCCTCTCCCGGCCCGCTGCGCCCGCGCGGTCCGGGCCTACCGCTGCCGTCCCTCGGCGCGAGCTGTTTGTGTTGTGTGTTTTCCACCACCGCCCCCCTCTTCTCGAGCCATTGCTCGCAGCTCTCCGGTCCCCCCCGTTCAGACAAAACCCGGACTGGATTTGTTTCCCCTACCCACAGCCTCCGCAGATCTGGTGCTTCCAAGCATTTGGCCCAGACGCTGGGGCAAACGCTAACCCGCAGCTGATTATTCCTTCTGCAGGGTGGACGGAAGACTTTGCTGGAAGTCAGGTTGTTGGTCAAGCTCGGAGTCTGGAGGAAGCTCTGCCGCACGAGTCATTTTAATGGTCTCTGCATGGTGCATGGCGACTACTCTTGCCCTGATGGGAAATCCGGGAAGGTGTATCAGTCTGAGATTTGGGGCCACTTCCCAATAGAATCATCCGACTCGCCTGGGCTTTCAAGATATTATTTTGTGACATTGCCTGCCAATCTCAGTCTTCGACAGCACCAATCCGGGCCCTGCCCATTTAGCTCTCTTGGCGCTGTGTTAAGTCTGTAAGTCTTTTCGGCTTTCATTCCTGCATGTTTACCTTAAGTGCCTGACTATAACGGCTCCCTTCCAAGAAAGGAAACTTTCGGCGCTCACCATTCAGTCTGTAGACCACTGGCACTATCGAGGCCTTTGGAGAAACAGACTGGGGCAAGGGTTCAGGCAAGGCCTGAACTTGTTATTTTTAAAAGCTGATATGAAGCAAGAGTCTGGGAACGAAGCACACAACCAGGTTGCCATAGAACTAGTGGCACTGCGGATTTCTAGGTGTGACAAAGGTAAGTCAGGTGCTACTGTTTGAGGTTAGGCTACATAGTAAGCCCTGCTCTGTGCATACAAATCCTCTGCCAAATTCCATCTTTGTAGTTGATGGTTGAGGAGGATCTAACTCATCAAATACTCTGGCAGACGCTTCCAGGAGGCCAGCGTGAAAGATGTCCTCACCCTCAGCTTCCTTTCACTGCAATTACTGTAGGAGATTTAACATCATGCTCCCTGTTAGACACTTGAAGGGAACTCATTAAATGCTCACTTATGGTGCCTTCCAAGTGGTGAACATTTCCACTGGGATGATGACAAAGATTCTAAAATGAACTTTTTGTTCTCCCTGAATCAGATTAGCTTCCCGATACACCTATTTCAGGTAATGACACTCTCATTGTACATCAGTCAGGCCCAAAATAGCGGTATCATTTTAACTCCCTTCTCTTCCTTATCCCTAGAGGCAGTTGGTTGCCCACAAGTCCAATCCATTGTTCTTTCTGAAATGCCTCCTGCTTCCACCCCTTCATTTCCATTTCCAAAGTTCCTTTGGCATCTCATGACTTCAAACGTGAGGGTTTCTAAGGGAGCCCCCTCCAGACCAGACACCACCACCAGAGTCATCTTCCCCAAACTCCATTTAGATTATAGTATTTCCTGGTTGAACTTTTCATTTGTAGTTATTCCATTCGAGAATTCAGAGAGAGAAAATAGTTTGAGCATTTTAGGAGATGGGTGTGTTTGATCAAAGCATAGAACAGCAGGGGCCAGCCAAGAAGGGAACTAATCTTCATCAGTGAGTGTTTCCAAAGAATGAAGAGGAGTCACTAAAGTGCTTTCATCCCAAATACAAGAACTCAACCTTGGTTGATTCGGGAGATGATTTTAGAGAGAGCCAGCAGGGTCTTTCTCTGACCACGAAGAATAAAGATCAAGGGCAAGGAGTTAGCTGACAGGTATGGGGACAGTGATAAAAGGGAACAAAACTGGGGCTCCTGGCTGGCTCAGGTATCATTTTAACTCCCTTCTCAGGTCATGGTCTCACAGTTCGTGAGTTCAAGCCCTGTATGGGGCTCTCCCCTGTCAGCATGAGGCCCGCTTAGGATCCTCTGGCCCCCCCTCTCTGGCCCTCCCCTGCTCTCTCTCTCTCTCTCTCTCTCTCTCTCTCTCCCTCTCTCTCTTCAAAATAAAGGTAACAAAGCTCTTAGGTAGGCTAGTGGTTAGGTACATGGTCTCAGGAGCCATAGTCCTTGGGTTTGAATCCTGGCTATAGAACTTACCAGCTACATGCCTTTACTCACTGCCACTCTGTCCCTCAGTTTCGTCATCTGTAAAATGAGGGTTGTAGTAGCACCTACCTAATAATAAAATTCCTTTGTAAGATAATGAGTTAATATGTGCAGTCATCTTAGAAGAGTGCCTGGTACAAGGAAGCTCTATAGAAGGACTTGTTATATTCAGTGTATTGATAGCATATAAACACAATAGCTTGGGTTACTCTCAAAAGGTAACAAGGTAGCTCTCTTTTTAGCAAACTCAGAACTGTCAACAACTCACAAGAAAATGCTTTTAAAACCCTGACTACATCTTATCAAGGGGCTATGGTCAGACCAAGGATAAAGCCATTTATGTCTGAAATTGCCATGGCTGAAAGAAAGTAAATGTTTTCCTGAGAACTGAGCAGAAAAACAGTTAAGTGAGTCAGTGATTGGTATTTGTGGATTAGTAGAAGAGGTACTAATTTATACCATTGTACTTTCTTTCAAAATTGCTATATATGCTTTGAAATCAGCTTGTTCTTTATCTCAGGCCACCTCAGCAGAGCTCATACACACCTATTCCCTGGCCCCATTGGGTCTAAGTGACTGCCCCCTGAATGGAAGAAAAAGAGTGGCCTTAATATTGGAACCATTAAGTGAAGGCTAATGTCACAAAGGCACCTTGGCTCAATCTGGGCTTTGAGGGATGAGAAGGTTCTCGATGGGCAGGAAAAGCAGCATTGTGCAGGCCACTGAGGACCAACCTCATGAAATAAGAGGACATTTAGTGGGAAGTAAAATCAAATTACCTAATTCAACAGGAATCAAGAAATGTCTCATGACGGGCTCATGACACACTGGGCTCGTGGGCTGAGAAGTCAGAAAATACCTCATGATGCCAAGCAAATGGGGAGAAGTCATTGCCACTCTGTCCCCCGTGTTCCCTAAACATAACACATTTTTACTTCCCAAACTAGGAACGCTTACCACTAAGGATGAGGTGTGCCTCTAAGTCATTGGAGAAAGAAGGAACATCTTCCAGACAGTCTAATTTAACACATAATCATCTGAAACATCTCATCCTTCATTCGATATATATGTATTGAGCTCTGCTGAGGCCAGGCCTTGTTCTGGACACTGGTGGGCAGCGGTGAACAAAATAACCCTCAGTGGGGAGGGAAGTAGGCAATAACCACAGAAAAGAAATGAATTAGATGGTTTCATAGATCCCATAAGTGCTACAGAGAAAAATAAGGCGGAGGGGGTAAAGAATGCCAGCAGTTTAACATAAAGAAATAATAACATTTAATATTTACTTTGTTTAATTTCTTACTTATTATTATGTCAGTTGTATTTATAACTATCTATAATTATATTGATTACAACTTACTATATGGATAATATATGGATAATATTTCATATTTAACATAAATAAATATATTAAAACAAACATAAGAGTAATATGAAGTATAATGTAAAATCTGAATGAAAACTTGCAGCAGCCTACGCGTCAACCATTACATTGAACTCTGTCTTCTTACCTTGGATAGGATCCATTCTCCTCTGGATCCTCTGTGCTTTGGCTGAACAGTTTGAGAAGCGCTGACGAAGACTGAGAATGGGTTTCTCCATGACCACAGAACAACTGGCTGCCTCGCGCCTGATGCTTATCATCCTAAAGGATTCTTAAATCTTTGCGTTCTGAGCCCCAAAGATACCCAGAGCAATTAAAAAAAAATTTTAATGTTTACTTATTTTAAATTTTTTTTAATTTTTATTTTTGAGAGTGAGAGAAAGAGTACGAGCAGGAGACACAGAATCTGGAGCAGGCTCCAGGCTCTGAGCTGTCAGCACAGAGCCCGACGCTGGGCTTGAACCCACAGACCTAAGCCGAAATCAGACACTTAAACGACTGAGCCACCCAGGCGCCCCCCCAGAGCAATTTCCAAATATATGTATCTGAGAAACTGTAGCAAAAAAAAACCCTGATGCTCAGTTTGGCATTCTGTTCAATGTTTTTAAATTCAGTCTTCAGAAAAAACAATAGTCATGCTCCCCCAGAAATACAACAGACTTTTACTCATCAGCAATAGCTCTTTCTTGTCTTTGTGAACCTTAAATAGTTGGATTCTTTAAGAATAGTAGCTCCCTTTAAAAATTATTTTAAAACTAAAAGTAAAATTTGGCCCTTTAAACTGCTTATAAAAGTAAGATTAGGTTAGTTTTTCCACACTTCTGGGAAACTTAAAAATAATTTCAGATGATGACTGTCATCCCACCATATGAAAAATAGATTATGGCCAAGAGAATCCCTCATTTATTACAGCCTTCAGGCTGAAAGTCTGTGTAAGTCAAGCATAAACCTCCACCCAGATAAATGTTTGTTCCATGACCAATTAACTTAGAACCCTCTTTAACCACATAATACACTTTCAACACGCTTCTTTAAAATACCTCTCAGAATCTTGAAATTTTTTTTAAGTGAGCATAAATGTGATAGAATAACTGTCCTTTTAAATACAATGCATATTTGCTATTTTGGGGTGTATGTGGTGTGTGTGTGTGTGTGTGTGTGTGCGTGCGCGATCTCTTTTCG